TGGACGGAGGAAAGAGAGGAATGTGTGAGTAAACATTTCTTGCTCTTCACACCGTTGCTGGTGGTCCTGCCCAGCACTGGCAGAGTGGCCCTCAGAATGTTGCCTAGAAGGGAATGTGGCCCTTAGGTATATCATGAGAAATATGCACTGAAATGCTGAATTTTCATAAGGACTTTAAAAAAAAATTGCAAAGGGGTGCAGAAATTTCAGGGGAAACAAAAGAAGACACCAACCTGCATGCAATGCCCATGTATGGATATGCTAATTTCTGCGTACAGGTGCAGATTTAGAAATAATAATTAGAATGCAAATAGAAATCTCTATATCCTTCCAGGGTCTTTGTACCCCTGCCCCCGCAAACTTGGTCCATCAGAGCTCTGGCTTCTTGTATTTAAACAGTTGCTGTTAAGAAAGGATCGTGATGTTGGCTAAATGGCTGAGATAGATTTAGAGGGTCCCTAGTGCAGAATTCAGCAGCCAGGTTGAATAGGGTAAGATGGTTTGAGCATATTGTACCGATCCTGGCTACAAATTAGTTTCTAGGCCCATTCAAAATGTTGTTTTTGACCTATAAAGCCTTAAACAACTCAGGACCGCGATACATCAAGAACCGCCTTTGTCCATATGAACCTGCCTGGATCCTGAGATTATCCTCTGAAGCCTTTCTTTGTGTACCTCCTCCATGCGAGGTCCAAAAGGTGGCAACATGAGAAAGGGCCTTTTCTTCAGTGGTTCCTGTTGGTGGAATGCTCTCCCCAGGGAGGTTCACCAGGCGACTTCATTGTACACCTTTAGGCGCCAGGTGAAAACATTCCTGTTTAGACAGGCCTTTGGCTGAATCTGGTGCCCTTTTAAATGTGTTGTGGAAAGGGGGGTTATTTGGTTGTCTTTGTTTTTATTATGTATTCTGTGTTTTTATATTGTAATATTATGTTGTCAACCGCCCTGAGATCTACAAGTATAGGGCAGCATAGAAAATAAATAAATGTAACATCGATGATGATGATGATTAAACAAAGCTGGTTGCATTTAAAGAGAGGATTTCTACATCTCTTGATCTTCCATTTCATTGGACCTCTGACACAGACATTTCACTAGGGCTTACCTTTAGCTGGTACAAAAACAATTAGTGAATGCCTCTTGAACTCTAGCTTGAAGTCAACTCGCTATACCCAGAAAGGTTCGAACATGTTTCTGTTGATGAGAGCTGACTCTTCGCCTCTGGGCAAAATGGGTGCTGCTGTCTTTCCCGAAAGAAGCCAAGTGAACACCCTGTGTCTTACTTTCGTGCCTGTCTGATGAAAGCCAGGGAAAACATTTAGGATTTTCCCAGTGAGTCATTCATACTCCCACAAATCTTTTTCTCCTGGCGCTTGAGCTGGAGTTTGTAAAAATCATAGTGTTTGTCTGGGCTGGAGAGAGGAGCAGTGGAAAGATGCTGTCCAGTGTAGAAGGAGCATACATTTATGAACTGGAAGTCTTGGTGGGTTGAGATTCTAATCATTAAAATGGTCTCATTCCTGTTGTTTTACCTTTCTCTTGGATTATATCCTGTGACTGCTCTTTTTCTGCAGATGACTAGCACGGCTGCCCATCTGCAGATTCACACAACCCGACCACAAAGGGTTTCTTCCAGATGTTGTAGGATGCCAACTCCCATCAGGTCACTGGTCAGGGGTGATGGATATTGTAATGCCCGCAGCATAACCATTATCAACATAATTCATGCTTTGTTGCATAGGAGTCAACTCCTGTGGTTGAGGTCCCTTCAGCACCCATAAAATATTTCAGCCCCTACCACCTCCACCCCCACTTGATAGGCATTGCTATTCAAATGGGGTGTGTGCGTCGTATCTTGTGATCGATTGTGTGGGGCAGGGCTTACCTGTCGCCCACCCCAATATTTTATTCAAGTTGGCACCCCTGCTTTGTTGTAACCCAGTTACAATCAGGTACCCATGCGCTGATCATATGCAATTTTTCACCCATAAGAATAGAAGCAGCACATCATTTCAGAGATATGAATCAGGGGCTACTGTTACACGGGATGTTTAGAAAATATTAGGTGTGGAAGGATCTGCCAATATCGGTTCTCTCTGTTTCTTATTTTTCCAATCTTAAATCTAGTTCCCCATATTTTGCAGTAATTTGCCAAAAAAATGCCAAAAAGAGCCTCATGAAAATTAATCAGCATTTCTAACAAACAGATTTGTATATGCAATTTTGACTGATTTTTGCAAGCAATTTCCCACAATATTATGCAATTTTAATCTTATTTTCACTCAGAGCTTCATTTTTATGCAGACTTTCCCCTAAAATACACGCGTTTGTAAGCATAGTATGGTTGGAGAACTCTAGAAAATTGTTTCGGAAAATGTGAATTTGATCAATTTGGATTTGAATGCATGTGGAATCAAATTTCTCCCCCATCCTTATTTCACATAGGACTTTCTCCAAATCCTCTTTCCCACGTTACTCTTTCTGTATCGTAGCTGAGTGTGGGATGAGTGGAGCAATATTTCCTGGCAATATTTGCCAGCAGAAACAGTTTCATTGTGCAAAGGCTGCACATATGTCTAAATAAAGATTTTTTTGCTCGGAGAACTGGTGTTCCCATTCCTAGCCTTTGCCGTAGGCAGCATTTAAAAAACAAACATCCAAGTTAGGCATGCAGGACAAGTCCTGGAAAGTCTGAGTGGTTTGAAATGCTGAGGGATTAAAATACTCAATCTGTGCTGCTAATCTTGTGTGAAGAGCACAAAGTTGATACTAATATGATTCCTAGAAGGAGCCAGTCAGCCACACTTGCATTTTGATGCTTGCTTTCCTGCACCTTCCCCTAGGAGATGAAGGACCACACATATCTGCTATTTGGGTCCCTGAAGCACAGATTCACACAAAGCGGCAAAACACCCTTGCAGGTTATTAACAGAAATGAAGGACCACACATATCTGCTATTTGGGTCCCTGAAGCACAGATTCACACAAAGCGGCAAAACACCCTTGCAGGTTATTAACAGAAATGAAGGACCACACATATCTGCTATTTGGGTCCCTGAAGCACAGATTCACACAAAGCGGCAAAACGCCCTTGCAGGTTATTAACAGGATTTTTTATTTGAAGTGCATATGCATAACAAAGGTTTGTTGCTGTTGTTTGTTGTTGTTGTTTAGTCGTTTAGTCATGTCCGACTCTTCGTGACCCCATGGACCAGAGCACGCCAGGCACTCCTGTCTTCCACTGCCTCCCGCAGTTTGGTCAAACTCATGCTGGTAGCTTCGAGAACACTGTCCAACCATCTAGTCCTCTGTTGTCCCCTTCTCCTTGTGCCTTCCATCTTTCCCAGCATCAGTGTCTTCTCCAGGGAGTCTTCTCTTCTCATGAGGTGGCCAAAGTACTGGAGCCTCAGCTTCACGATCTGTCCTTCCAGTGAGCACTCAGGTCTGATTTCCTTAAGAATGGATAGGTTTGATCTTCTTGCAGTCCATGGGACTCTCAAGAGTCTCCTCCAGCACCATAATTCAAAAGCATCAATTCTTCAGCGATCAGCCTTCTTTATGGTCCAGCTCTCACTTCCATACATCACTAATAACAAAGGTACAGAGCAATAAGTTTGCAATCTGCACACCCTAGTCAGGATGTGCCCCCCTTATATAGATTTGCAGAATAGGATACCACCTGATCTCTTGTAAGTCACCTGATTTTTTGTAAACCACCTGATTTCTGGGAAATCGAAGTTCCTATTACCATATAAGGTCTTGGTCTTCTCTCCCTCCTTCCTGCAACCTCCCTCATCCTGGTATGACAAGAAATCCTTGTTCCTTATCTCTATCTGCCCAAGCTAGATATTCCAACGAGGGGCCCAATTGCAGTGTAACATTTTAGCAACAAACCCTGACCCTCTGGCTGGTGTATCCCTTTGGGATAATACAACAATTGTATTGTAATATGCCCCTTTCAGAGAGAATTGATCTCAACTGCCACACTGGTTTAAATTAAAAATGCTTGCAATCAATTTGGCAGTTTTCTTAGCCAAGGGGGGGGGGCAGGAAACCTGTCTTTTGTTCTCACACTGCCACCAAATCTATCTGTGGGCAGATCAATTTAAAGCAGATCCAACACAAATTTAAAACACACAACTTACCTCAAAGAATCATAGGAACTGTATTTTGTTAATGGTTGCGGGAAAACTACAGTTCCCAAGATTCTTTGGGAGATGTCATATGCTTTAAATGTGTGTTAGATGTGCTTTAAATAGATGGTGTGGATCTGCACTGAGCACCTTACAGTTCTTTGAAAACACTAATGCCATACAGCACCTCATGGCTGAGAGTGTTTCCTGCCAGAAACCCTGGAGGGTCGCTGTCAGTAGTCAGTGGTGGACCTTTTTGGAGGTCCTGTTTATTCTGCTAAATTGGCATGACTATGACAGAAACTATGACAGAGTTAAATGCACGAGTTAATTAATAACAGGGGCTATCCTTTTTATTATTCTATTATTAAACAGTACTTCCTTCATGTGTGTACACATGCAGAGAGAGAGAAGGAGAAACAGAGAGGCACTTAAATGAGACCAGCGTGAGCAAGTGAAATGTTGAGGATTAGTTATTTGTGGTCTTACTTGCAAAGATACAGTAAGGCGTATTTTCAAGACAGTGGCTCAATTTGTGATCTGTAACCACAATGCTCAATAATTTAGTGGAGTCCCAGCTGCTAGAACTTTGGTCTCCTTACACCTTTGGAGGTGTTTGCTAAAGCAAAGACGTGTACGATTGCACTGTTGTTTCATAAGAAGAAGAAACGATAATATTTTGTTGTGGTTGTGTTCCGATACAATGGAGGGAAATTGTTCTGGGGTTCAGCCTGCACACTTGTTCCCTGCTGCTGGCCCTCAGCTGTGTCCTAAGTACAAATGCAATCCTGGCCTTTTTTTTTTTCACTTTCCAAGGAATGTGGGGGAGGGGGGCAACTTAAAAGGGGGAAAGATTCAGGACCACATTGGGATGGAGAGGACTTTATGTCCCATAATCCAGACTCTCTGGTCCTCCAGACATTGCTGAACTTCACCTCCCATCATCCCTGCCCACTGACTGGCGCAGGACCACTGGGTTACTACCACTGGTGCGGGCAATGACCAGTTGCCTGGTAGTATAAGGCACCGTCCTATATTCACACAACTGGAACTGTAGGCAGAATGTTTTATTAAACGGAGGGCAGGCTTGAGGCCTAGTTCCTTCCCTTGAGGCAGTAGTGACTGAATAGTTACCATGGTAACCCTAGGGGACTCCTGATAGCTGCGAATCTCTCTGTGCTTTTGAGTGGGAAGGTTGTTCCCTTCTAGTGGAAACAAGGTGTGTGGAGGGGAAGCAGTCAGATCACATAGTTTTTGAGGACCTCCTTAGACTGCAAGGTTTCAGTCTGGGGTGAACGAGTTGTATAACAGAGCGCAAGATGTTTGCTTCCCCTTGCAATCTGCTAACAGGATCATTCTGTGCAGCTGTTTAATATTAGCTACCTGCCGCTGCCAATTATGTTTTTTGCATTGTTTTTCTGCCTTTTGCCGCCTACGTTATCTGTCAGTCAGCTGCTTCTACAGCTTAATTGGGAAACAGGGTGTGGTTTCTTACTGACAACTGACGTCTGTCCAGAGTTACCTGGGTATAAATTATCTTTTTCTTTTTCTTTTTTTAAAAGTAGGCAGGGAACCGGCTTTGAAACACCCAGAAACGGCTTCCAGAACCTGACAGGTTACAACCCAGATTGATTTTATCCTGTAAATATTTTCCCTCTTGCTTTCATGAGCAAGTAAAGTCAGAGGATGCTGCCTCCACCAGCTTCTACCATAGGGGAACAGACGACCTAAGCTTGGTCGCCACCCAGAATTCCTCCCAGTAAGTGGGAGTTTAGTTTTGACAGTGATGGCGCTCACATGCGGAATCATGCACCCTTGGCAATGAGTAGGAAAGTGAGCCTCATCGAGGGAATGTAATCTTCTTTCTGCAGGATGGAAGCACTGGTGAAAGTAGTTCAATCGGATGCCCAGCCATTGACAGCCAGCCCAGATATCTGGGCCAAGGAAGGTTATGGCTATGCAGAGGACCAGGGGTCTCCTATGCCAGGGGAAACAGCCAGTCCCAAAAGCTATTTTCAACAGAGCCCATCTTTACCAGCTTCTGGATTAACCGAACTCAGCGGTGTGGAATCCAGCACCTGCGATACATCTCCAGCTAAGGTTCAGGAGCTGCCTGCCAGGAGAGGTAAGATGAAACCTTTCTGTGCATAATTGAATACTGTCGTGCAACATGATTTGCGGTCATTTCATAAGGCAAGAAAACGGACTGATTTCTGACCTGCTTCTTGTGATATATGTTAGTGTGCAAGAGAAATTCCCTGAGGATAGTGACCTGAGTACAGTCATACCTCGGGTTAGAGATGCTTCAGGTTGCGTTTTTTCTGGTTACAGACCTGCCAAAACCCAGAAATACCAGAGCGAGTTACTTCTGGGTTTCGGCGGCCACGCATGTGCAGAAGCACTAAATCGCGCTTTGCACATGCGCAGACACTCCGCTGCGGGTTGCGAACACTGCGGGTTGCGAACATGTGTCCCTCATGGATTACGTTTGCAACCTGAGCATCCACTGCATATAGGAAGTGCCCTTGGTATATAAGGGAAGGGCCGTAGTTTAGGGGTAGAGCACCTGGTGTGCATGCAAAAGGTCCCTGGCGCAATCCCTGGCAAATCCAGGGAGGGCTTGGAGAGATTCTGTGCCAGAAATCCTTGAGAACCACTGCAAGTCTGTGCAAACAGTACTGAGCTAGGCAGGCCTAGGGTTTTATGGAGTGTAAGGCGGCTTCCTATGTAAGTGTGTTGCAATCTCTATTGGCCTGCACTGTGAAGGGGATTTCCTGCAGTGTTTTTGGAAGAACACAGAAGTGAACTGTGCACATCTGCATTCTGCGGCTCATTCTGCCACGTGTTAATGGTGTCCACATGCATCACGAACGACAGGAAAGAGGCTCAAAGTGGATTTTGATTGTGAAAGCACCATTATCCTAATACGTTATATAAGCCCAGTGTTCAAAGCACTTCAGATGCACTGTATCAGTATTATTTCCAACCCTCTGGAAAGGTTTGGTCAGCCTTGGTATCCCATATTTCTGGCAGAGGACATGCGAATGGGAGTGAGTAGCTTGCTTACGGACACCCAGGATGTCTCTGCATTTTCAAACTTATATCTGTTTTATACCACTTTAACCATTGTGGATTCCCTCAAAGAATCCTGAGAACTGTAGTTTGATGTGAGGGACTGAGAATGCTCTGTTAGATACTCCTAGCTCTCTGCAACTAAAATTCCTAGCACTCTAATATGAGGATATTGAAGTTAAACCAGTTTAATTCTGTGGTGTGCATATGCCTTGTAGAGAGCTGGATAGCAGAGGTGAGGTTTGAAAGAACTCTCAGCCCAGGCTCCTGACCAATATGCTACCCCTCTTCATAAAACATTTTCACTTCAGATGTCACTGGATAACTTTTGGTGTCACTTCCAAATTTACTGATTTGCTGAGCCTTTCAAGGCTATAACAAGAATTGAATCCCATACAGACAAGTGCAGCTAATAACTGTGAAATGAGGACCCAAACATCAAAAGAAAGCCTTAGTATTGCAATTGAGACATCTGGAGAGGCAAGTTGCACCTCAACCTCATGCATCTTTGCTGAGAGAAATCTCAGAACCTCCACCCCGAGGTCAACAGAGCTTGGTTCCAGATCCTAGGATAGGGATGAGGGAGAGAGATTCCATTTAGTTTCAAGGCTGACTTACCTAATTTGCACTTTGCTAAGCAATACCTACACTGAAGCACAGGCATCCTTCAAAATCTGCACTTCCCCAATTTTTGCAGTGCGTTTCTCCAGTCAGGTAATATGTACGGAAATGGATATTCTAGGGCAGTGTTCCCCAACCTTGGGCCTCCAGCTGTTTTTGAACTACAACTCCCATCATCCCTCGCTAGCAAGACCAGTGGTCAAGGATGATAGGAATTGTAGTCCAAAAACAGCTGGAGGCCCAAGGTTGGGGAACACTGTTCTAGGGTACAGGGGACATAAAAATGCATTGGTTGGTGATGACAAAATTCAGGAATGTGTTCTATTAGGTTTGATTTGCAAAAATGTGTATTTGGGGCAAGATTATGTATTTAAAAAGTGTGTATTAAGAGAAATACACCTTAAAATAGTGGTGAATTTTCATTAGAACATTTTTTTTAATGCAAACTGATGTGAAAATGTGGACAACTGAATTTACGATTGGGGAAAAATGAGAAACCAACACTGACAGATTTGCCCATCCCCAAACTGGGATTGCAATGTTTTCTGTTTTCCAGGCAGGCTCTGGGCCCAAACATTGTTCTCCATGACCAGTTCCTAGAAGTGTTGATGGTAGCGATAGGAAGACTTGATCAATAAGATGCTTATCGTTATTCATGGGGAGTCTTTTGAGTGCCAAGCATTTTGAAATTGGCAGGACTTCAAGGAATTTCCTGTTGTCAGTGAATATGCAAAGGCTGGCGGAATCCACTATGGTAGCAAAAGTATTTCAATCACCCACTCAGGTGAGAGAAATAAAAGCATATTACAGGGCCAGTATGCTGAAATACATGGCTCCTAAACAAAACCTTCCTCCAAACAAGCGCACAAGAGTAGAAATGATTGCATTACCTGCCAAAGGGCATAGCTGGGCAACACTGAGGTCTTCTCTATACTGAAAAACCTGTATTGCTTTCATGCCCCTTTTACCATCATGGCTTCCGTCCACAGCATCCTAGGAATTGTACTTTAGCAAGGAGGAAAAAAGAACACTGCTAAAGATTCCCAGCTTCACAGAACATCAGGTGCCATTGTTTATGTTCTGAGTTTTTTGTTTTTGTTTTTAAAAAACACACCTGTTTTTTAATTATTTAAATTTTGATATATATTTTTTTAAAAAATGGTTTATTCAGTGGTGTTTATATATTGCTTTGGGAACACCAGCTGAGAAGCATGGAGCAGGCCCTCTGTAAATGCATGTCACCACCTTTTGATTTATTTATTTTTCCAGGTTCAGCATTGACTGTGGGTGCCCCTCAGAAGCAGTATGTAGGCGTGAGGGTAAAAATGCCGGTGTGTGAACTGCTGAGAAAAATCCGTCTCTCCAAAGGGACAGAGTCCAGTGACGTCAGGGTAAGATTCCCATCCCATTTCCTGAGCATGAGGATAATGAAGATCAGGCTGTTTCCACTGTGAGATGCCCCTTGCACCTTCTCTTGTTTTGCTAGGCTATGGAGCCAACTCAAATTATTATGATTCCCAAGATGGAGATGCACACTTCCTTCCATTAATTAACTCCATGTTCTTCCTGCCCCATTTCCTTTCATCATTGTCATTCATTTATTAAAAACAGTGGATACCTTTAAAATAAAAATAAAACAATCCCGTGCAGGTGGAGACCATTTTAGGCATGTGCAGTTGATGTATGACCACCGATGCTTGGGTCCTTTTGGGCCTGGAAGAGGCAGGGGTAGGAGCAGAACGGGCTTATGTGTGCTCTGCCAACACATGTGGGGACCAGGAATGGAACCCCCCCATGCAAATGGTTGCTGCCTGTACAAAATAGAAACTCATGCAAAGACTCATTTATTCAGCCTTTTGGAACAAATAAAACGTTTTCAGTTGTTTCCGGAAAGTGCAGATAGTGGGGTCCCTCTTGCCATTCCATAGAACAGGGACCCCTGACCATTAGGTTCAGTCGCGAATGACTCTGGGGTTGTGGCGCTCATCTCGCTTTACTGGCCGAGGGAGCCAGCGTACAGCTTCCAGGTCATGTGGCCAGCATGACTAAGCCGCTTCTGGCGAACCAGAGCAGCGCACGGAAACGCCGTTTACCTTCCCGCTGGAGTGGTACCTATTTATCTACTTGCACTTTGACGTGCTTTTGAACTGCTAGGTTGGCAGGAGCAGATCTTTGCAACTTGCAGGAGATGTTTTCCCATAGGCTACAGCAATCTTCTGGGGGTACAAGTGCTAAGGCAGCTTTCCCTTTATATGGCTTCCTCTGCTGTCATGTTATATATAAGCCCTTTGTCAAGCACTACATTGCCAAGAGTGCTTAATAAAGAGCATTAGCAGCTGCAGACACAGCGTAAAGGGAAGATCTCCTGCACAAGCATCATTGGAGGAAAGGCCTACAGTGCCTGCTCGTCTCAGTGGTGTCTGTACAAGAGAATTTCCCCTTGGGTTCCATCCCTTAGGTCATTCCTGTCTGTCTCCCACTCTTCCATACTTGCAAATAATCAACCACATTCTCCACTAAAAGTGCCCCAAACACTATACAGTAATAATTTTTCCTAAAAGGTGACTAATTCCTACCCTTTTATTCCTATTTCTTCCTGGTGGTATCACCTCTGATAGGATTCCATGCCAGTAATATTTCCTTTATGCTCTTGCTCATTTAGCTAAATTATTGCTTGTTGCTGTTTTTTGTAGTATTAGCTTTCAGTTAGTTTGTTGTTGTTGTTTAGTTGTTTAGTCGTGTCCGACTCTTCGTGACCCCATGGACCAGAGCACGCCAGGCACCTCTGTCCTCCACTACCTCCCGCAGTTTGGTCAAACTCATGCTGGTAGCCTCGAAAACAGTTAGTTTATACACCACTTAATGTCAAAACTCGTTTACCAATTATGGCCCTGTCTGAAAACACCCTAGTTCACTTTTCTAGTACTGCTGGTATGGTGGTCAGGGAAACAAACTTTGTGTTCAGTATTGATATTTATCCTTCCACTAAGAGTCACACACTAAAAGTGTGAGTTTCTGGGCTACTTCTCTGGAAGAGAAAAGTTGGCTACAACTGAAGCTCGATTTGTAGAAGGGATCACCTTGAGATCACAGGGGTTCCCCTGCTTGTGTCACTGCCATTTTTTCCAGCTTTTGACCCAGTCAATGAGACATCCCAGGCAGTCTGTCTATAACTGTGCTGGCCGGGAATGATGGGAGTTATACTCCAAAACCTCTGGAGGGCACTAGGTTGAGGCTGATCCATCTAATCAAGGTTGATAATTTCCCAAATACATTTTTTTTCTTTCCATAGGAAACACCTGCTAAAGCAAATACCAAAAGATCTTCAGGAAGAGCAGGTAAAAAAAAAGAAAAAAACTTGTGTGTGTATGTATGGGGCAACCCCACATGCAAAAACCCTTGCTTTAATTGTTTTGGTAAGTGAATACCTATAGATATTTATATATTTCTTTCTTCCTGTACAGGGAAAAGAAGAGCTCGCTCAGAAAGGCATGACAAGCAAGTATGTGGGACACTTTCTCTCTTCCGTAGCCAGCATTTCCCAAGCAAATCAGACCGCAGACCTCACACATTCATTTCTTTCTCTTCTTTTTAAAGAACTGCTGTCAGGCTCAGACAGCCTTAAAAAGCACGGAGGACTTGGACATCCTAGTCGAAGTACTTCAGGAAGACCTGAACAAGAGCCGCTCCAAGCTAGAGCCTCAGTTGCCTACGCAGTTCCCGCATGGCACGACCCAGGGATTTCCGCCTCCCTGGTGGGAAACCAACGGCAACTCACAACCAGATGGCAACTGGCTGAGAAGCAGCTGGGAGCCTGTCGGATTTCAGCCGTTGTCTGCTTCAGGCGCATTGCCTCATCCATGTGCTGAGATTTCCTATGGATTTGAGTGCAGAAAGACGCAACAACCTCTGGATCTGGTCGACACGTTCCAGAATTCCTGCGTGGAAGAAAGATGCTGGCTGGGGAATGGGTCTGTTGAACGTCCTGGGGAGAGTTCCCAAGGCTTTGCCAAGGAGATCAGGCCTCACTGCCACAACCCACTGGGGCAGGCTTTGCCAGAGACTTTGGAAGAGGACACTGCTGCCTTGCATGGCAGGGGGTGCCTGAAGGCGAGTGCGTGGTCTTCCATGGACCAGGAGGCTCCTACTATTTCTTTCTTCCAATTCCAGCTCTGCCGTGAGGAGAGTCGGCTCAGGGGCATCTCGGTGGACAAGCTGCTCATGCCGGATAGAAATGGGAACAGGTTGGTCAGTGGTTTGGTTTTGCACCTGACAATACTTTATTTTTTTATTATTTTTTCAAAAAAAATAATTATTGGTTTTCACAGTATTATAAACAAACAAACACATAAGACAAACAAACATAAATCATAGCCTTGTTGAAAATTACACTTATTAACTTTGTTAAGTGACTTCCCCGCTTCCCCTTGGTTGAATTTCATTGCATATCCTTTTAACGGTTTCCCAAATAATAATTCTTATAAAATTTAACTTAAACATTAACATCCTTAAATCCTCACTTTATGAAATTAAACATATTAATTCATCACTTAACATAAATAAAATCCTAAACCAATTAAGTATCTGCAAGCTGTTTTCAGTTAATTTAACTTAACATATTTAACTAAATAATCATTAAATTTAATCCACTCTTCCTGATACTCTTCCTCCTCCTTCTGGTGACAATACTTTAAAAAGTTAAAACATCTTTTAACAAAACCCTTTGTAACTTGGGTGATGGAATGATTATACTCCCCCTGATTCTTGCTACCTTTCCCCCATGGCCTTTGTTTCATTTCATTGTGGTTCACAGATGTATCCTGAAAGCTGCTGTGAGTCTGTGTGTTTACTTTCTGACCAGTGTCCATTGCAATGTTCAGAGTAACATGTGCAAAACAAAAGTGAGGAGGGGGCAGTTCCCTGCCCCAACAAACTTGAAGCCAAATACCAATTACTAGGGAGAAAGGGAAGGGAAGAATTTGGTAATGAATTTTAGTAAATGCCGTGGCTTAAAATCTCAAGTTTTAAACCATCCAAGGAAGGGATTGTGGATCTGGAGGACAATGGCTTTCTTATAGATATATCATAAAGGTAAAGGGACCCCTGACCATTAGATTCAGTCGTGGCTGACTCTGGGGTTTCGGCACTCATCTCGCTTTCCTGGCCGAGGGAGCCGGCGTACAGTTTCCTGGTCATGTGGCCAGCATGACTAAGCCGCTTCTGGCGAACCAGAGCAGCGCACGGAAACGCCGTTTAACTTCCTGCCGGAGCGGTACCTATTTATCTACTTGCACTTTGACATGCTTTTGAACTGCTAGGTTGGCAGGAGCAGGGACTGAGCAACAGGAGCTCACCCTGTCGCGGGGATTCGAACCGCCGACCTTCTGATCGGTAAGTCCTAGGCTCTGTGGTTTAACCCACAGTGCCACCCGCGTCTCTAGATATATCATAGGAAACGTCTAAGTCCATAGGTCTGTCTAGCTCTGCATTGTCTACACTGACTGGCAGTGACTCTCCAGAATTTCAGACAGGGTTCTCTCCCACCCCTACTGAGAGATACCATCTCTACACAAAGCAGGTGCTCTGCTACTGAGTTAGATCTCTTCCCATAAAAATAAAGGAAGATTCCAGTCCTCATGGGCTGGAATAAAGGGCTAATTTAAAAAGGAAGCTGCCTTCTAGAGGCGGGCCACTACGTCCATCTAGCTCAGGGGCCAGCAACCTTTTTCAGCAGTGGGCTGGTCCACCATCCCTCAGACCATGTGGTGGGCTGGACTATATTTTGTGGGAGGAAATGAATGGATTCCTATGCCCCACAAATAACCCAGAGATGCATTTTAAATAAAAGCACACATTCTACTCATGTAAAAACATCAGGCAGGCCCCACAAATAACCCAGAGATGCATTTTGAATAAAAGGACACATTCTACTACTCATGTAAAAACACGCTGATTCCCGGACCATCCGCTGGCCAGATTGAGAAGGTGATTGGGCCGCATCCAGCCCCCGAGCCTTAGGTTGCCTACCCCTGATCTAGCTGAATATTGCATACACTGTCTGGCAGTGACTGTCCAGGGTTTCAAAAAGAAATCTCTCCCAGTTTTACCAGTAGGTACCTAGGATTGAAACTGGAACCTTCTGCATTCAAAGCAGATGCTATAATACAGCTAAAGCTGGGGTTTTGCTTATGGTGTCTGCATGCCCTTTAATCACTAGGTAATACTACTCCAGCTGGCTTCTTTTTACTCTTCAACCAGCATGTCACCTAAAAGGAATCTCCAGCATTGCTAACAGACCACCACACACTTTTTCTTTGTTTTTTACTCCTGCTCTCTGCCTTACAAGGACGTGACTTGTATTCCACTTAGCACCAGAGGCAGATCTGAAGAACAACTGCCCTTTATATTTTTTAAGGGTGAAATGGGATCTTCCACTATGTTTCTTTGCCCCAGCAGCCCCTGGGGCAATTGGAACTCCCTGCTACACCCAGCACGATCTAACAATTCAGTCTGAATAATATCTCCTGCACTCTATACTGCTAAAAACCACAGTCCTTGAGGACTTTTCATCACATCCAGGTTTTTCTTCCTTTTACCCTCATTTTAAAAATAAAATAGCCCAGCTTTTACCAGACTGGTGCCTTCCAGATGTTTTGGACTACAAGTCCCATCAGCACCAGCCTGGGAGTTGTAGTCCAAAACATAGATCAGCCTTCACCAGCTTGATGAAGGCTGATCTATCTTGAAAAAGGGTTTGGGGAAACCTGGAAGCTATCTTACTGCTATATAGTTGGTCCAAGCAGGTTTATGGGTATTATTATCCCCATATTAGAGATGTGTTGGGGACTATGCCCTCTGCTTATCCTCTCAGCCACAGCACTAGTTTTACTGTTCCTCTTATTGCTAACTTACCAATACAGTGGTACCTCTGTACCACAAATTTGTTAATTTGTTCTGGAGGTCCGTTCTTAACCTGAAACTGTTCTTAACCTGAGGTACCACTTTAGCTAATGGGGCCTCCCAATGCCGCCGCACAATTTCTGTTCTCATCCTGAAGCAAAGTTCTTAACCTGAGGTACTATTTCTGGGTTAGCAGAGTCTGTAACCTGAAGCGTCTGTAACCTGAAGCGTCTGTAACCCGAGGTACCACTGTATGTCATTATCATAGTTCTTGGAGTGGCAGAAGCTGATGGTGCTTCTCTGTCATCGATTTTCTTTCCTTCCATATTTTCAAACATGATGGCCATAAATCTGAATGAGAAGGTTATCCAGCAGCGTCAGGTCACTGATAAGGGAACAGGGAGGAGACTTCCAGAGAACTCAGCGGGCCTATTCACTGGAACCGGAACAAAACAAAGCAACATTTTATGAGCCATTTCAGTAGAACTGTGTATGTTTCTATTTCAAATATTTGCTTCTAAATCTTAGATCTAAAATAAAGGGAAATCCCTTTCCTCTTTCAGAGCTGAGTCAAAGCGAGGCAGTGCCCTTGTTTGGAAACTGAATAACTTTGAACCAGCATACCGCTGCGGTGTATAGAATCTATGATTCTATGTATCATACAATCAAAGAATTGTAGAGTTGGAAGGGATCCTGAGGGTCATCTAGTCCAACCCCCTGCAATGCAGGAATCTCAACTAAAGCATCCATGACAGATCACCAAGCAACCTCTACCTTAAAAACCTCCACGGAAGAAAGTATTGGGGCTTGGATAGATATCTGGGGATGGGATGGGGTCCCCCCCCGCATTTTGGTTTCATGTTTTGCTAGTCTTAAATCCAGTTCCCCAAAAGTTTAATCTCCACGCAGAGGAAGGAGTTTTCTCATCTGCAATCCTTGAGAGATGTTGCCAGTCAGTGTAGACAGTATTGAACTAGATTGACCAATGGGCTGACTCAGCATAAAGCCGCTTCCTATGTTACTATTTGTTAAATTTGCAAATAGCAGGGGTGGGGATTGTATCTGGGGAAGGGCCTTAGCTCAGTGGAAGAGCATCTGCTTTGCATGCAGAAGGTCCTAGGTTTGATCCCCAGCATCTCAGTGGGAGGCAGCTTCCTATGAGCCTGTGAAAATATCCTTTTGACATTTGCCCAGCAGCAGAAGCTCTCATTTGAATTCAAGCTGCCTCTCCTTCCTTGCTGTTTCTCTGTTTTGCAGAACCACATACTCCCCAACATTTCTCCGATGAAAATAGGGCATCTTATTCAACAACAACAACTTTATTATTTATGCCCCGCTTATATGACAGCATTGCCCCAGCCACTCTCGGCAGCTTCCAACATACAGTGGTACATCGGGTTAAGTACTTAATTCATTCTGGAGGTCCGTTCTTAACCTGCAACTGTTCTTAACCTGAAGCACCACTTTAGCTAATGGGGCCTCCTGCTGCTGCCGCGCCGCCGGAGCACAAGTTCTGTTCTCAACCTGAAGCAAAGTTCTTAACCCGAAGCACTGTTTCTGGGTTAGCGGAGTCTGCAACCTGAAGCGTATGTAACCTGAAGCATATGTAACCCGAAGTACCACTGTATATAAAAACATAATAAAACATTAAACATTAAAAAAAATTCCTATACAGCTTCCTTCAGATGTCTTCCAAAGGTTGCATAGTTGTCTCCTTGGCCCTGGGGTTGCATATCTCCATATCCTCCAACATTTCTTCAATGAAAATAGGGACTTCCTAAGGAAAAGAGGGACATTCCAGGATCAAATCAGAAACCGGGACAGCTTCTGTATATCCAGGACTGTCCTTGGAAAATAGGGACACTTGGAGAGCCTGGAACCACCTGTGGCATTTCTGAAACCAAACCAAAACTCCTCTCGTTTTCTCTCCCCTTCTGCCCAGGCTTCTTCACAATGCTGTTTCTCAGGGGAAAAGGGCATTGGCATATGCGCTGGCAAGGAGGTTTGCACATCTCAACAGACTTGATGGGAAGAACGCAGCGAAACAGGTACGAGCCACTTTTTAGCAGAAGGCTGTTTGCAGGGCAGCTGTTGGTAATTTTATAGAAATGGACCACATGAAACAGAGCAAAAACTTAATGAAAAGTTGCAAGCTGCATTTAAAAAAAAATGCAGAAACCATTTGTCCACTAATCCCCCAAAAGGTCAACAGAATAAGAGAGTTTTCACTTATCTGTGAATGATAAGTATCTTAAGGTGCAAGGGGAGGGAGCCCATAAGGGGAAATAGAATGGCGGGACTTACTTTTTTCTAGGCCACACTCCCTAACGCTAATTCATGTTAACTGAAAGCCAGCTTTTGAAACTGCTCTTGCACTTGTTTCTCTACCAGTGGTAGGAAACCTCATACAGCCTCAAGCAGAGAGGAGGAATTTGTGGCTGTCAAAATATGCTAGGACTTCAACTCCAGTCAGCCCCAGTCAGCTTGGCCAGTGATCAGGAGATGGGATGGGAATTGTAGTCTAGCAGTGAAATATACTCAGAGTCGAGAGTGGATTTCGTGCTCTTTATTCAGCTCATAGTGGTGAGGAGGAATGCAAGTTCCCCTTTATATACATAAAAGTTCCCCTTTATATACATTATTTACACAATGGGCTGCAGGTGATTGGCTAATTCCAGAATTCTCCTGTAGGCCAATCTGGAGCTGGATTGGGTGGCTCCTGCAGACCAATCATACTGCTGCATTGTTCTAGGACCAATCAGACTGCTGCATTCTGAATCCTATTGTTCTAGGACCAATCAGACTGCTGCATTTTGGATCCTGTTCAACTCAGTACATAACAAGCAGCATCCTAGAAGATGCATGGATGTAAAGATTATTGCTTGCTAAATTGCAGCAGTTGCGATATTAACAACACAGTGTCAAGGTGCCACTCTCATTTGTGAATCGCTCAAAATTTCTATCCTTCCTTCCCCATCTTTTTTTTAATCCTTCAAAGACTGCATTGCACATAGCAGCTCAAAAGAACCATCATCTTATTGCCAGCGACCTGCTCTCTCTGGGGGCTGATGTAAACGCGAGGGACAGCTCAGAGAAGACTCCCTTGCACCTCTGTGCTGAGAAGGGTTATCTGAGAGTCTTGGAAGTAAGTAGAGTTTGAAAGTGGGGCCTGGCTGGGTTAAAGGTTAAGGGACCCCTGACCATTAGGTCCAGTCGTGGCCGACTCTGGGGTTGCGGTGCCCATCTCGCTTATTCGCTGAGGGAGCCAGCGTACAGCTTCTGGGTCATGTGGCCAGCATGACTAAGCCACTTCTGGCAAACCAGAGCAGTGCACGGAAATGCCGTTTACCTTCCCGCCAGAGCGGTACCTATTTATCTACTTGCACTTTGACATGCTTTCGAACTGCTAGGTGGGCAGGAGCAGGGACTGAGCAACGGGAGCTCACCCCGTCGCAGGGATTCGAACCGCCGACCTTCTTATCAGCAAGGCTCTGTGGTTTAACCCACAGTGCCACCTACGTCCCCTTGGCTGGGTTATATGTCTATTAATTTGAGGTAGGGATGGGGCAGAAATTCAATCCAGGTCACCTTTAAACCCAAACCTACCTAATCTGTAATTCCTGAAACAATATGCCGACTGAAGCATAGCCATGTATCAAAATTACCACCATTCTGAATTTTGCAATGAAGTTCTCCAGCCAAGGACTGTGTACAAAAATGTGTGTGTGTGTGAAAGTAAAGTGTGCAACAAATGCATATATTAATAAAAATATTGTTGGAAATGTATGGTATCTGGGGAAACTGCTTGCAGAAATATGTATGTATATATGTCAAAACGGCAAACAAAAATGTGTTTATTTATGAGAGCTTTGCACTAAATACTGGTAAATTCGTACAATTTTTTATTATTATAAAATGATCGCAACTTTCTGCAGAAATGTGACTAAATTTAAGATTAGAAAAATGAGAAACGGAGAGAAACCAACACTTGAGAGATTTGTCCATGCCTATCCTTTTGCAGCTGTTTGGCCCACTTTTACTGCGGCCTGAAATCAGGATATTTTAAGTAGCCACGTCTCTTTTTCCATGGCAGGTCTTGAAAAGCTGTCAGGAAGTTGGCATCCACGTTGAAGTAGACGCAACCGACAATCAGGGTATGTGGAGAAGTTTGGTGAGGATAGGGAACTCTCTTCCTGTCCCTTAGGATACAATCTGTCAATCAAGGCATGCACCTAATACAGCGGTTCTCAACCTGTGGGTCCCCAGATGTTGCTGGACCACAACTCCCATCATCCCTGAGTTCTGGCCTTGCTAGCTGGGGGTGATGGGAGTTGTAGTCCAACAACATCTGGGGACCCACAGGTTGAGAAAGGCTGACCTAATACATAGAAATCAGCCACATATCTTGCTTTTCCTTAATTAACTGCAGACATGGGGGAGCCCAATGTTTACTGGGAAGGCAGTGTATGTGACGGGGGGGGGAACATATCTATTCATTCCCCCCCAATGATATTCCCTCCCTCAGTCTCCTAGTAGCACACAGGGAAAGAGATGGGATCTCTGTTCCAACCACAGTGAGAAAGTGGCAATACAAGCCTCTACTCTCTGTTGTTTTCCCCACTGTGAACTGGGCTAGCACATGCCTATAATTATTGAATAAAGAGCAAAATGCATGCTACGTGCTAAGCACACGTCTGGTTTGGCCTGCAGTGTCTAATGCTCCTTCTGCTCCTCTCTAAACAGGCTTAACGCCAATACAGTGCGCAGGTTTGGCTCACTGCGCTCTCGCGATGGACTCGGACAGCCGCCATCTCTCGGCTGAGACCTGGAAGCTTCTGAACCTCCGTAAGGATCAGATACTGAGTGGTATCAAGTGCTTGATACAAATGGGAGCCAACCCATGGGAGCAAGTAAGTGCTTTGGTCTCAAACAGAGATGTAGCTTGATTTTATTATGGGTTTTGGAGTGGGTGTGGGGTCTTTTTCTTTCCAGGTCTTTCCCCTTCTGCTCACTCGTATCCTTTCTCCTATCAGAAGAGAGAGTTTTGCTAACTGCCAGAGGCTTTCCACACTTTTTTTAAAAAAAAGGATTTGAGGTACAATCATACCTTGGTTTTCGAACAGCTTAGTTCTCGAATGTTTTGGCTCCCGAACACCGCAAACCCAGATGTGACTGTTCTGGTTTGCAAACTATTTTTGGAAGCTGAACATCCGACAAGGCTTCCACAGCTTCTGATTGGCTGCAGGAGCTTCCTGCAGCCAATCAGAAGCTGCAATTGGTTTTCCAAACATTTTGGAAGTCGAACGGACTTCTGGAACGGATTACGTTCGACTTCCAAGGTATGACTGTACTAGGAAAGAGAGTGCCAACTGCATAAAATTGGTGTCGGTAAATAATGTGCATAGATACAAATTTGGAAATAGTGGATGGTAGCTAACTAACTTCTACTCAGAGCAAACCCATTAAAATTAGTGGACCTAATTTATTTTTATTATTATTCCTTTCATTTCTATATTGCTTTATATTTTTAAGAAATCTGAAAGCAGTTTACAACACATTAAAGCATCAAATGAAACACTCTGGAATAAAACACTGCTGAAGGAAGTCAAACATAAAATATACATTCAAAGCAGCATAATTAACAGGAAACTTAAAATAGTAGCTTAAAGATTTCAAAATAAAACATTGCAAAGTAAATCAAGTACAGAACGAACATTTAACACAGCAAAGTTGACAAAGCAAATTGTATTAAACCTTTCAAAAGAAAGCATTACTAGAGGAAGTCAGATGTAAAATGTGCATTTAAAGCAGCTATTCTCCTAAAGTAGGACACACTGCCACTCTGCTAGGAACCCATGTATTAAATTTCTCTTGGTTCTGGAGATAGTCTTCTTGATACACGTATGTTCTTTCGTTGACATGTTTTGCTGGGATCACCTCTGAGCATAATGTCTACGCAAAAGCTGTATCCAAACCAGGGGACTATGACTACCCTCTTATTCTTTTCCTAGGGAACAAACTCATCAAGTCGAGTTTCAAATTATTTTGCAAAGGTCCAGCAAAATAGTGAACTGATGTGTTTTTTCCAAACTCACAGGCCCCAAAGGCAGCAGGTAATTCTATTGGGTTGGTGAAAAGGGAGGCAGGTAGACTGCAAGAGGATTGGTTGCTTTGCCAGTTTTTGTATGTGTGGTCCTTAAGTATTATAGATGACAGACAGAAACGAAAGAAAATGAAGCATTCAGTCATAAAACCAGTCAGATGGGCGGGGTATAAATAATCAGTTGTTGTTGTTGTTACTTGGGAGTAGGAATGTGGGAGAAATTCAGTTCCAGTTTGCATCATTTAAAGGAGAACCTAATTCTCTATTACAGTGGACACTCTGGTTGCAAACGTGATCTGTGCGGGAGGCACGTTCGCAACCTGCAGCACCACATCTGCGCATGCGCGGATTGCGATTCGGCACTTCTGTGCATGTGCAAAGTGCAATTTAGTGCTTCTGCGCATGCGCAACCGCTGAAACCCAGAAGAAACCCGTTCTGGTACTTCCGGGTTTCAGCACGTCCGTAACCCAAAAAAACACAAACTGAAGCATCTGTAACCCAAGGTATGACTGTATTATTATTATTATTATTATTATTATTATTATTATTATTTATTACTACAATGGTACCTCGGGTTACAGATGCTTCAGGTTACAGATGCTTCAGGTTACAGACTCCGCTAACCCAGAAATAGTACCTTGGGTTAAGAACTTTGCTTCAGGATGAGAACAGAAATCGTGCTCCGGCAGCGTGGCAGCAGCGGGAGGCTCCATTAGATAAAGTGGTACCTCAGGTTAAGAACAGTTTCAGGTTAAGAACAGACCTCTGGAACGAATTAAGTTCTTAACCCAAGGTACCGCTGTATCTGAGTTCCCATGCTTGGTTGCCACAGTTTAAAAAACAACTTTAAACAGAGCTTAAAAACTTACTGTTACAAAAAAAATAAAATGCAAACATTTGTATCCTTTTAATTAAATGAAACATGCACACATTGCCTCATTGTTACTTTTTTTTTAAGCCCAGGTCACACTAATGAAGTTGCAAAATAATTCTAGGGATTGAGGGCAGGAGAGAAGGTGAATACATGGCATTACAAAGCACCAGGCAATCTGTACTTGGCACAGCCAACTATTGTTGCAGACTTGCAGAACCCAGCCTTGGCTGTAGGCTGTAGGGGACACTGAAGTCCCACCTTTGCCCCTTGAGAGTCTTCTTCAGCAGCCCCTGGGGCTTTGGGTGTTTCATTAGTCAGCACCCGCCCCCTGCCTCGTATATCATTGCAACCTTCAAAAGTAGAAACACCCTTTTTGTTTTTAAATTAAAGCTGATATCCTTAGGAAGTGCAGATTCTTCCGTCAATACAGCTTTGCTGAGATTCTGTGGAAGCCTGGCTTATGCATAGCTCTTGTCCATGTTAAGAAATGAGACTGATTGAATACTTTTGCTTTGTCCAGGATTACAGCTTGCTCTCTGGACTAGATGAAATCGCCCTTCTGTATTTGCAAGGAGAAGATGTGGAGCCACCAATGGTTTCTTTTCCAAGCTTCCTCGACCATTCCCATGAAAGTGCAATGTAAACAGGACAGTTGAGCACACCAGGAAGCAATGGACTTCCTAGAACACTGGTTGCTGATATATCAGATGTGTTTCAGGCTTCGTATACTTGATGATCTGAAGCCCGCGGAATGCCTCGATGGACTTCAAGAAATCTGGAGTGCCATTTCTGCCAGGCTGTTGGCGGAAGAACAGCTTGAGAATAGACAGTAAAAGTCTTTGAACCTGTGAAGGCTTGGGCTTTGCTGGATTCATGTCCTCAGAAAAATTGTAGTGGAAGAGCACTGAAGATTATAGATGGGAAAGGCTGGCTCTATTTCCCCAAGCCATATGTGTCAAGATAGAGAAGCTCTGAGGTCTTCTCCCCTGCCTTAAATGACCTTGCTCTCAAAATAATCAAGTGCAGGAGAAGATGCTACTTAATGGATGGTGGTCCATGGAACAGGTGGTCCATGGAGCAGGCACAGATTATTGCCATGCAAAAATTCAAACTGATCCCCTACAGAGGGAGGGCTTCCATATCTCATCGGCAGAGCACCTGCGTTTTATCTCTGGTGTGCACCTGGGGGAAACAAAGCCACCCTTGATCTGAGGATGTATTTTCAGCAAAGCCACAATGCTTTGTTTATCGATGCAATCAAAGTTTATGGAGGTTGTTTTGAGTGTGTATAAGAAATGCACAGACGAATCTGGAACCGGACAAATGGAGCTGGGCATTTCACCAGGGCTGAGTGAGACCTGCTCCCCCATAATTCTGCACACTGAATTTTTGGTGAAAGCTCTCAATACAGTATTATGTAAACAAACAAACATGCATACAAACCTCTTGTACCATCTCCAAGATGAAGACATTTGATGCGGCACAAGCTTTTGTAGGCTGCAGTTCAATTCAACAGGTGCAATTTCCTTTGCATCGTGAATCTTTCTTTCCTTTCTTCCTTCCTCTTTAATCAGTGAAATCTAAAATCTACCTAGCATCTGCCACAATCCAGTCCAGAGTTCATTGTGCTGAAATCCTTTGAGGTTGGAGCTGACTTGCAGCCATTGTTCTGACATGACAGCTTCAGACATCCTATATTTATGGATCTTTTTGATTGGACCCAGCACAGGGATGGGAAACCTCCAGCCTATGGTCCAATCTTGGTCTGCCTGTCAATCAGCTGGTATCACTTTTTCTTGCTCTGTGTGTGTTTGTGAGAGAAAGAGAGGGAGGGAGGGAGGGAGGGAGGGAGGGAGGGAGGGAGAAGTTTCAAGAAGACTCCTGTTGGGCAATAATTTTTTAGGAGAGCTCATTTCCCATGTAGTGGAAACAGCTTTCTTTTGTTTTCTGCAAGTCAAACAGGTTTTTTGGGGGCGAGGGAATACAAACACCTGCCAGATCTGTTTAATGATAGACAAAAGTTAGCTGGAAGATACTGTGTACAGTGATTCCACTTTGATATTTCCCCTTCTCTCCTTCTCCACACCAAGACCTGCACTTTACCTCTTTGTTCAACAACTTGCTCATAGCTCTATGTCCGGTTCCAAATGTTGCCCTTTCTTTTGGTAAGCTTTGGTTCTTAAGTTAGTGGTTTCTGTGAAACTTCATTAGTTGCTACACATGGAGCAATACGATACTAATAATGTTTTTGTAATTAAAAAAAAAAAAGGAAATTGAATATATCCAGCAATTGGTGAACATGGTGAATTCCCACTGATGTCAATGGGAAATGAATTTTTTCAAACAAAAGATTGTGTATAATAAGATGAACCTCATAAATGGTAAATATTTGTAAATGCACTTCGATTATGGTGTTGAGAAAGTTTGGGTTTCTTTCCATGTAGTTTATTTTTCTTTGAACTGTTTTGTTGACTGAAGTTGAAGATTATTGCTGTTTTAATGATTATTTTTGACTTAAAAGTACACGCTCTACCATAAAATGTACAACCTACTATAAGAGAAAACATGCAAATCAATCCAATAAGTTTATGGAAAGATGGGCATTTTTTTTGTCATGTTCTGGAATAATAAGCTTAATGTACTACCCTGTGCTGTCTTTAATTTGCTGTAATGTTAATAGTTACTTTTTATGTCAGTAGTTGGAATTTTGGTTGTCAATGCTTTAATGATCTAATAAAGAATATATCTATTTTTAAAAGGTCACATTCTTCCAAATGCAGTGAAATAATCATCTTGCGCATATGGCTGTGTAGTTCCTCCAGAATCAGCAACTAAAAATGGTGCATCAGGATTCCAAGACTGCAGTCCTAGGGTGCACTTGTACATAAAACTGTACATAAAACTGCTAGTACATTTGCAAAGCTAAGCATTGGATGGGGGGACCACATGTTGAGATTCCTGCATTGCAGGGGGTTGAACTAGATGACCCTCGGGATCCCTTCCAACTCTTCAATTTTATGATTCTATGTGTGCACAGTGAGGTTGTATTAAGGTAAGGTAAAGGTACCCCTGCCCGTACGGGCCAGTCTTGACAGACTCTAGGGTTGTGCGCCCATCTCACTCAAGAGGCCGGGGGCCAGCGCTGTCCGGAGACACTTCCGGGTCACGTGGCCAGCGTGACAAGCTGCATCTGGCGAGCCAGCGCAGCACACGGAAACGCCGTTTACCTTCCCGCCGGTAAGCGGTCCCTATTTATCTACTTGCACCTGGGGGTGCTTTCGAACTGCTAGGTTGGCAGGCGCTGGGACCGAGCAACGGGAGCGCACCCCGCCGCGGGGATTCGAACCGCCGACCTTTCGATCGGCAAGCCCTAGGCGCTGAGGCTTTTACCCACAGCGCCACCCGCGTCCCTGAGGTTGTATTAGTGATGGTGGATTTGTAGGCTGGCTGTGGATATTACGTGTAAAAGTCAAAAATCATCTTGGCAATGAATTCACAAAATAACTTGCACAAAATAGGCCTAGTGATACACAGTAAGAAACATTTTTTTGCTCTAGTGGATTATGAAAATTAGAGTTTGAATTGTGTGTGTGTGTGCATTATTTAATCATTGTCAAATCTATAACAAACAGACTTTTTTCTGAGAATATCTGGGAGCTTAATCCATTTCCTCCATCCCTCACCTTCAATAAATATTTATAATTTTCAGCACTTGGCAAGCCTGTTGTTTAACTGCAAGGAATGTGAAAGATGGCTGTTAGGCATTGCCAAATGGCTTGAATCACAACTCACTGGTGTGTGTGTGTGTGTGTGTAACATCACTTCTGTAGAGTCAGGTTTACAGCCTAGATGAAAAATCAGCTGTTATGGGTGCTGTTAGGTTGGTTCTGCACTGGACCTCTTTAGCACAGCGAAGGCATTTCCTTTCCTGCTAGATGTGGAATTAACTAGAAGAGGAAGTGTGGTGGAGTGGTTAGAGTGTTGGACTAGAAACTGGGCAGTCCTGGGTTCAAATTTGGATCAATCATTGCCTCTTAGCCTAAGCTACGTCACGGTGTTGTCGTGAGGATAACATGGGAAGAAGATTTGTGTTTCCATGCCACTTGGAGCTCCTTGAAGGCAAGGCGGGATATAAACGCAACAATAATCTTAACTAAGAATACTGTTCCTCATAGACAAGTTCTTATTATAATACCTAGTCAAAAGTAAGTTCCTTTCAATAATGGTGCCTTATAATGCTAATCAAAAGCCTCCTGTTTGCAAGTTGTGCTGTTGTGGTTTGTTTGTTTTTTAGCTTCCTGAGTCTGTACAGCTAAGAGACCCATTAAGTGCTCCTTATTTAATTTCGCTTTACTATTTTCTCTCTCTCTCTCTCTCCCTTTCCGTTCCATTGGAGGTAAATAGTGTAATTTTGCTATCATGAAAAGAAAGGGATAACAGAATGAAACAAGCATTATTATTTTTATTTAAAAAACCCATAATTTTATTAATCTAGATTTCCAAGATAGCCTACAAAAGAGAACCATAAAACAAATATAAAAACAGATCAGAAACATCAGAAAGAAGTGTGCATGTACACGAAAGCTCATACCAATAATAAACTTAGTTGGTGTCTAAGGTCTACTGGAAGGGGGGGGGGAATTATCAGAAACAAAAGCAGTTATCGTAGCAACAGTAAAAATACAAAAAGCGGGAGATATCAAATCAGTTAAAATCCTGGGCAATCTCTCCCCCACCCCCGAAAATATCTAAATTTGTGGGTCTCCGGGCAGCCCAATCAGGTGGTGGCATATAAATAATTATTATTATTAAGAAAGCCTACAGAGTGGCAGGGATATTTAGAGAATTACTGGTACCTGTAGTGCTAGAGTTAACAAACAGGTAGGTTCCTTTTTTAAAAAAAAGAAAAGAAAAGCTAACATTTTCAATGAATATATCCCCCCACAGACACCTCTGTGATGATGGCATTAAAATATCTTGTTCTTCAATAAAAGAGAAAAGGGGATACCAGATTGTATCAAAGGTATCTTTTTTTGAGATGCTCTTGATTAGTCACCGATGGTATGTGAGGCGTTCTGATAGAGTAATACTCCAGATATTGTTAACCCAAGCCTCTATTGGTATATTAGATGTTTCCTTCCATCGTTGGGCAATAACTAGTCTAGCTGCTGTGAACAGGAAGGATGGAGTTTGGGGCCAAATCTTGTGATAATAAAACAAGTGCTGAATTAGGAGGGATATATTGTAAAACAAGCAATTTGACAACTCACTTGCAAGACACAAAAGCTCAATAAATAAGGAGCAATTCAGGGGCAATTCACATATTTTTAGTACCATTTTGAGGCTTGCCTCTGTTACGTGTTTTCCCACAGGAGTGATCAGGCTGGTTTTGTGTGAACAGGATGTTGGACTAGATGGGCCACTGGGCTGATCTAGCAGCCAGGCACCTCTTCTTACTGAATACAAGAAACAGAACACAACACAAAGAAAGACCTATCTTCCTGTTGATTAGAATCTGGGCACAAAAACATCTGCCAGGATTGATGGGAGAGGCGGTTTCAAATTACACTTGAAAGGCTGTGTCTCAAACACCTTGCTGGGATTAGCACTGCCTCTCCCAAGAACAAAAGAAGATGTCATGGGACTGGGGGAGACTGGCATATGTGGGAAGTAATCTCAGGAGTACAGACTCACCTTTATACTGGGAGCAGTTTCATTGAAAATAATGAGAGGGCAAGTTCACAAGAAAGCCACAAGGACCATAGGCTAAGGTTACCAGATTTTTTTCAAAGAATCCGGGGACCCTTTTTTTTTTTTTTTTTTTGAATGCTGAAAAAGAGAAACCTGCTGGTTTGTGGCCTTCCAGCAATATATGTGTGTGTGCTTTTAAAAACTTTTTATTGATATTTTGCAAAACCGGGTAATTATGGGAACATTAAGAAACACACCAAGACAGAACAAGAACAACCCCATATTAATTATTGTATGTCGATACATTTTTAGGAAGAAGTACAAGTGATTGGGAGAGCAAAATCTGCAAAAAGATCATCCTCTTATGTTTCCTCTCCAAAACCCAAGTTGAGTACTAAGGTAAAGGTAAAGGGACCCCTGACCATTAGGTCCAGTCGCGGACGACTCTGGGGTTGCGGCGCTCATCTCGCTTTATTGGCTGAGGGAGCCGGTGTACAGCTTCCGGGTCATGTGGCCAGCATGACTAAGCCACTTCTGGCGAACCAGAGCAGCACACAGAAAAGCTGTTTACCTTCCCTCCAGAGCGGTACCTATTTATCTACTTGCACTTGGACATGCTTTTGAACTGCTAGGTTGGCAGGAGCAGGGACCGAGCAATGGGAGCTCACCCCGTCGCGGGGATTCGAACCTCCGACCTTCTGATCGGCAAGTCCTAGGCTCTGTGGTTTAACCCACAGCGCCACTCACGTCCCAGTTGACTACTAGACAGTGGCATAACTGAAGTATTAAATTGGGGGATGTGCTGTTTCAGATACATCAGATTTGACTTGACCCTTAGCCCTGCGTAGATCATGAGTTAACATTTCCATAAGATTCCCCCACACACCAATATCTAAATTGTGCTTTATTTTATGTACCGGTACATTCCTTTTTAAAACCCTTTTGAGACTTTAAGAGGATAGGAAGAGGCATGAAAGAATTATGACAATTCTGTGAGTATATCACACACATACACATAACATGTCCAAGCAATACAAAGTGCAAACAGTAGTAGCTCAGATTGCCTTGATAACCTCAAATGACTGAATAC